TTTTATCCTCACCCGAGGATATTTTTCCATTTTTTTTGTACAGATAGAGTGGGAGGGAGAGAGAGGAAGGGAGAGAGAGAGAGAAACATCGACGTGAAGGGACACATCGAGCGGCTGCCACCCGCACGACCAACCAGGGCCGGGGACAAACTGCAACCGAAGTACGTGCCCTTAGTGGGAACCAAACCCGGGTCTCTCCAGACCGCAGGCCGACGCTCTAACCGCTGAGCCAAACTGGCCAGGGCCAAAGAGAGAATCTTAAAAGCAGCAAGAGAAAATAAGTTGGTTACCTACAAGGGAGTTCCCATAAGGCTGTCAGCTGATTTCTCAAAAGAAACTTTGCAAGCCAGAATGGAGTGGCAAGAAATATTCAGAGTGATGAAAAGCAAGAACCTACAACCAAGATTACTCTATCCTGCAAAGCTGTCATTTAGAACCGATGGCCATATGAAGAGTTTCCCAGACAAGAAAAAGCTAAAGGAGTTCATCACCACCAAACCATTACTATATGAAATGTTGAAGGGTCTTCTTGAAGAAAAAGATAAAAAATAGGAACAAACAAAATGACATGGAATACACATCTATCTACAATGGAATCTACAAACAAAATGAACAGGTAGAACAGAAACATTCTCATAGATACAGAGAACATTTTGTTGGCTGCCAGATGGGAGGAGGGTTGGGGGAATGGGTGAAAAAGGTGAAGGGATTAAGAAGTACAAATTGGTTGCTAGACTGACAAACCTCAACGGGAAGGGGGCTTGGGCATGGGAAGAAATAAACCAAAGAACTTATATGCATAACCAATGGACACAGACAACAGTGTGGGGAAAGGCAGGAGCGGGGAGGAATGGGGAGGAGGGGGTCAATGGGGGGAAACTGAGGAACATCTGTAAAACATTTAACAATAAAGATAAGTTAAAAAAATAAATAAATAAATAAACTCAAAATGGATAAAAGACTTAAATGTGACTCGCGAATCCATAAAAATCCTAGATGAAAATGTACGCAACAAAATTTCAGACATACACAGCAGAATTTTCACTGATACAACGCCTAAGGCAAGAGAAACAAAGGAAAAATGAATACATGGGACTACATCAAACTAAAAAGCTTCTGCATAGCAAAAGAAACAAGCATCAAAATGGAAAGGGAATCCACTGTATCGGACAGCATAATTGCCAACGATACATCAGATAAGGGGTTAATTTCCAAAATATAGAAAGTACTCATACAAGTCAACAAAAGGAAGACAAAGACAGGAGATATATGAAAAAATGCTCAATATCACTAATCATCAGAGAGATGCAAATTAAAACAACTATGAGGTATCACTTCACACCTGCCAGAATGGCTGCCATCAACAAATCACCAAACAAGTGTTAACGAGGTTGTGAAGAAAAGGGGACTCGTATACTTCTGGTGGGAATGCAGACTGGTGTAGCCACTGTGGAAAATTATAGTGTTTCCTCAAAAAATTAAAAATTGATCTGCCATTTGATCCAATGATCCCACTTCTAGGAATATATCCTAAGAAGCCTGAAACACCAATCAGAAAGAATATATGTACCCCTATGTTCATAACAGCACTATTTACAATTGCTAAGATCTGGAAACAGCCCAAGTGTCCATCAATAGATGAGTGGATAAAAAAGCTGCGGTACATATACACAATGGAACACAATGCAGCTTTAAGAAAGAGAGATCTCTTATCCCTTGAGACAACTTGGGAGGGACCTGGAGAGTGTTATGGTAAGCGAAATAAGCCAATTCGAGAAAGACAAATATCACATGATCTCACTTATTTGTGGAATATCATGAACAAAATAAGCTGATGAACAAAACAGACCCAGAGACATAGAAAAGAGTATGGTTCAGACTGACAAACCTCAGAGGAGGGCGGCAGGGGGGATGGATGAGATAAACCAAAGAACTTATATGCATGTATATGTAACATGTCAATGGACATAAACAACAGTGCTGGGACGTTAGGCGGGCGGGATGGGGAGGAGGGTGTCTAGGGGGGACAAAGGAGAAACATCTGTAACAAAAATAAATTAATAAAAATTGAGAGAGAAAACAATAACAAAAAATAGCTTCTTTAGCCCTGGCCAGTTTGGCTCAGCAGCTGGAGTGTCAGCCCATAGGCTGAAGTGTCAAGGGTTCGATCCCTGGTCAGGGGCACATACCTGGGCTGTGGTTTGATTCCCAGCCCTGGTTGGGGTTGTGCAGGAGGCAACCAATTGATGTTTCTCTCTCTCTCTCTCTCCCTCCCTCCTTTCTACTCTCTCTAAAAATTGGTGGGAATTGTGTGAGGATTAAAAAAAAATAGCTTATTTAAATCAAGGAAAAAAAACAGATCAACAACAGAAAAATTAGCAAACACAATAAACAATTCACAAATGAAATACAAATGGCCAATGAATAGTCTAGGCATTCAATCCCAGTAATTAGTACAAAGGACCACATTTTCTTCAAAAGGGTTAAGAGAGTGGGTGTGTACCAGGTAATTATTTGGGTCTAATCACACAATCAGATGTGTAGGAGACTATAGCTCAACAACACCACTGATGAGAGTAAAAGCTGCTAGTTTTTCTGAAAGGCAATTTGGCAATATGTATCAAAAAGCCCCAAATGGGGCATACATACACTTTGACCTATCAATCCTATATTTAAGCATTTAGTCCAAACGAGGATTTTAAGATGTATTTACAAGCTTGGTCATTGCAACATGTATATAATAGTAAACAGTAAAAGACATAGAGATTAATTAAATAAAACCATTATAAGTGATAATGCAGTAAACCTTTATTTTTGACTTGAAAAGATGCTTATATATACTGTTAGTGAAAGAAACAGCTAAGGCATGATTCTACTTTAGTTTAACATTGTTTGTACTTATAAAAAAACATATTTCTCTATATTAAAAAGAATCTGGAAAAATACAACAAATTCTCATCTCTGCATAATTTAATTTTGTTGTTCATCATTTTCCTAATATCTAATTTTTTACAACATACTGTATAATGTGTATAAAAATATCCAGAATACATAAAGTATCACTACAAATCAGTAAGAAAAAATCCAACAGATAAATGGGTAATTGAGAGAGAGGAGAGTATGAATGGCCAAAACAAACAAAAAAATCAAAAGATGCTCAACCCGTTTGGCTGGTGTGGCTCAGTGGATTGAGCTCCCATGGACTGAGACAGGTCCCGGTTCAATTCCCAGTCAAGGGAGTGCAGGAGGCAGCCCATAGATGTTTCTCTCACATCAATGTTTCTATCTCTCTCTGTAAAAAAAAAAATCAATAAAAACATATAAAACATAAAAAGATACTCAACCTTATTTAATAACTAAGGAAATGCAAATCAAAGCAAGAGATAACGTCACATCATTCTATTTAGCAAAAATTAACATGTCTGATTGCTTCAAATTGTGAGGCTGTAGAGAAACAAGTAGTCACACATACACTACTGGTAAGAATGGAGATTTGTACAGCCACTTTGAAAGATAATTTGTACATTCAAGGGGACATATCAGGAATGTTCACTACATTATTGCTTACTAATAGCACACAAAAAAAGCTTATTAATAGCAAAAAAAAAAAAGAGGAAATAATAAGGAAATGGGTATGTAATAAAAGGCAAGTAGTTCTAGATAGATGTTAAAAAGAGTGAGCTGCATCTCCAAGTAATAACCTGGGCAGAATCTAAGAATCTGTGACATTCACATTTATTATCTTCAAACCTGAAAAGCTCCTCGGGCCACAACTGAATGTACAACTAAGAGGATTTTGCCAAGTTAGCTTCTGGACATTTCAAATGACCCCTTAACTTTGGCGGCTCCCCGTCAGGCACCCATCACAGATAATGGCACAGGAAAAACACTAGCCATTTTTCCAGTCTTATTTATGAGATAACACATGATTATTCACAGTGAGTAAAACTCTCAGTAGCAATATGACACTTGAGAATGTACACCAAACAAAGCTTTACCTTTAGCTGCAGTAATGTTCACCACAACGATCAACTAATCTAGAAACTCTGAGAAATTATACTGCAGAAGCCATATAACTATTTCTCAGGTAATCCAGATCCAGAACCATGGCTTTCAAATGTTACTGACCATGACCATAAAGAAACACATTTCACGGTGATGCCCAATATAAACACTTACCCACATACTTAGGTAAAACAAAAACTTCACAGAATAACTTAAACTTACTACATGACATACACTGATTTCTTTTCCTATCCAATTTCATTTTACTTAAAATGCTGGTCATGACCCACTAAAACTGATTTTAGAATCCACTAGTGGATTTCAATCCAATCTGAAAAAATATTGACCCAAAAAAGCAGGCATAAAACCTTTCACCTATCTCCCAATGCTGCCATAGCCACCATTAATTTCATCTGCTACCTTGCTTTCACTCAGGCGATCCCACCCACTTGAAATACCTTCTTTACCCCCCCCCCCCATAAATCCTATTAATTCCAGACCTACCTAAAATTCCAACTCAATCACAGTTGTTTCTAGGTAGACTTTCTTGAAATGTTCTCTAACTCTAAACTCTTGTAGCAATAATACAGTCAATTTGTCTGTCAATTAACGCTTCAGGACATCTACTTTGTCTAGAACTATTGTTCAAATCTTATACTTGAAATCCTTTCTCCTAATCTTACTGAGGGCAAGGAATGATTTATAATAACTAATGTATCTTAGTGATGCCTCACACATAACGGTATATGGATTTTATTTCCTTGTAAGAGCCTCAGTTTATCTGTTCTCTCTAAGAATTCGTGATTAGCTACAAGAGTATTTTATTTTGGCAGAGACCTAAAGCCAAACTGAGACAGGTATTCTATAAATCACTATAGTACTTTGATTAAATAATTGCAGAATAAACAGTCTAATGAAAGAACTTGTTAAATTCAGTCTGATTAAATTCAAAGCTCTCAAAATTCCCAGAGAATTTCTCTAGAAAAAAGACTTACCTGTATGATGAGGCCTGGTGCCATGACATTTAAATCTTTCTGCAGAGCTTGCTTCAGGTTTTCATCTATTTGATCTGTTTTTGAAGCCAAAAACAACAGCTCTCATGACACTCAAAAAAAGTTTTTTACATTGTATTAATATCAAAACAAAACCAACCATTAATAGACAGAGTTTCCATGGAACTATTCTTTCACAGAACTTAAAGTGCTTCACACATGTGTAAAAGCAAATATATGTGATACACACACACACAGAATATATATATTTTTAGTTTTCCTTTTGTGTGGGAGAAAGTGTGAGGAATTATCAAAGAAATTAAGTTAATTCAATACATAAAAACTTTAGGTCTCTAATATCAATTCAGTGTTGTTACTTTTTTTTTTTCATCCTCACCTGAGGACATCTTTCCATTTTTTGTTCAGACAGTGGGAGGGAGAGAGAGAGAGAAAAATATCAACGTGAAAGGGACACATCGAGTGGTTGCCATCCGCACAACCCAACCAGGGCCGGGGACAAACTGAAACCGAGGTACATGCCCTTAGCGGGAACCAAACCTGGGTCTCTCTGGACCGCAGGCTGATGCTCTACCGCTGAGCCAAACCAGCCAGGGCTCAGTGTTGCTACTTAACACATGTCCTGACTCTCATTGTAAAAAATTCTTATCTTCAGTCAGTCTTTACCCCAAATAACTAAATTTCATTTCCACAAACTTCTGCCTATTATTTTGGATTTAAAAATAGAGGGGGGAGCCCAGCTGGTGGGGCTCAGTGATTGAGCATCTACCCATATACCAAGAGGTTACCGGTTCAATTTCTGGTCAGGGCACATGCCCAGGTTGTGGGCCAAATCCCCAGTGGGGAGCACACAGGAGGTGGCCAATCGATGTTCTCTCGCATCGATGTTTCTAGCTCTCTCTCCGCCTCCCTTCCTCTCTCTCTAAAAATAAAGTCGTAAAGAAATAAAAAGGGGGTAGGGGTGTGAAGCGCTCACAGGAAGGTCTTTAAAGCACACAAGAATTGACAATAAAGATGTCACTTCATTTGGCCTTGTAACTCATGAATTGTTGATCTATCTCAGCATTACTTTCACCATTAAAAAGATGGGTGATGTGACAAATCAGGACAGATCAGTTTTCTCATACACCATCCCAATAGTTGTCAATATCGAGGAATCAATTGGTAGATTTCTAAACTGATTAACTGCATGCCGTTAAGAAATTCACTAATGCTCAGCCGGTGTGGCTCAGTGGTTGAGCATCCACCCATGTACCACGACTCACCTCCATGTTTAAAATTTAAAAAAGAGAGCCCTGGACGGTTTGGCTCAGCGGTTAGAGCGTCGGCCTGCGGTCCAGAGAGACCAGGGTTCGGTTCCTGCTAAGGGCACGTGCCTCGGTTGCAGTTTGTCCCCAGCCCTGGTTGGGTCATGCAAGTGGCAACCACTCCATGTGTCCCTTTCACGTCTATGTTTCTCTCTCTCTCTCTCTCTCCCTCCCACTGTCTGAACAAAAAATGAAAAAATGTCCTCGGGTGAGGATAAAAAAAAAAAAGAAATTCACTAAGAATTTCAGGAAGAAGTAGTGAGCAGCCAATAGCAACAACCCAATCCCTGGTCAGAGTTTTCACTATTATAAATGAAAAGTAATTTGTGCAGAAAAAGAGTAAATATAAGAGGCCTGCAGCTGTCATCCTTAGAAAGGACTGTTTTCAAGTTGGCCCTCGCCGTCTCACCTGGGAACTTGGATTCAGAGAGAGATCCCACCAAACCCAAAATTGATAAAGAATAACTTAACTGTGCTTAAATTGTTTATACAAACAATGTGGTTTATGCCAAACGCCTGCTTTCCTTCTGGAGTCTGGAATTTTGGTATGTACCAGGCAAAGGGTGCCTATATAACCAGCCCCCCCAAAAAAGCCTGAGCAGTGAGTCTCTAATGAGCTCCCTAAGTAGATAACATTTCACATGTGTTGTCACAATTCAGTGCTGGAGTGATTAAGTGCATCCTGCTTGACTCCACTGGGAGAACACTCTTGAAAGCTTGTGCCTGGTTTCCTTCAGATTTCACCCATATGCCTTCCCCTTTTGCTGATTTTACTTTGCATCCTTTTGCTGTAATACATCTTAGCTGAGAGTACAACTATATACTGAGTCCTGTCAGTCCTCCTAGCAAATCATCAAACATGTAGGTGGGTCATGGGAAACTCCAAGACACAAACTTCTAAATTCCCCAAATTATCTATTAAAATAGCAACAAAGCTAATTTTTAGTAAGTTATCACAGTAAAAACAGAATATAGTCTGTAAGTAATGATCTTTTTCTCATTTCCACCAAGTTATGTATTACGCATTTCAGAAATGGTTATCATTCATAAACCATCTTGTCTGAGTTAACTACTTAATTTAAACCTAAGAAATTTAAGCTTAAGATAAAGAATATTTTAAAGACAACTGCTCTATTATAAATTCAGAAGGAATGCTCAAATAACATGTTTACTAATGTTATTATAGCGTCCATAAATGAGTTGAACAAGATTTCCAATTGGTTATTCAAAACAAGTAAGACACTTACCAAACAACTCAATGTAAACTTCTTGGAGTGTATGGGCACTGCAAAACTGATTCAGTTCATGGTGGATTTTATTGAAGATTAAAGTCTTGTCATAGTCTGCAGTGTAGTTCCTCACGATATCAAACACTGAAGGAGAGGTACAATCCATGTTTACCCATGTATCTTCTAACTCAACCAAGGTAAAAGTTACACTGATACAATACACATGCGGAAAAGTGCCAATAAAACAGTGAAAACATGAAACACAACTCACAAACCTTGGAATGTTCCTTGTCCTCAATATTCAAGGTATTACTGCATTTGTAATTCTAATAGGCAAGCTTTGAATTCCATACTAAGAAAAGTACACATATCTTGGAGGTAATAAGGAACTGAAAGTTTTCAAGCAAGGGCATGGTATAATCAGATTTGTACTTTGGCAGCAGTATAAAGATGAATTGTGAGGCACAAAGATCAGAAGCAGGGAAGTGTAAGGCAATTACTGCAAAGCAAAAGTTTAGCTAAGAGGTAAAGAGGGCCTGAATTGAGAAACAGTGAGAATAAAAGAAGGAAGCAGCTGCAAAAGCCCCTTTTCAAAAAGGCAGTTTCTAAAGACTGTTAAAAAAGACACCAGACTAGAAGGGAAAGGAGCAAACATTTATTACACCAGGTTTTAAGTCAGGCAATTTACATACATTAGCATTAAATTCTCACAAAAAACTCTAATTGAGGAAACCGAGAAACAGAATTTCAGAAATGTGCCTAAGGGCACATGCTAGACCACACCTGAACCTTGAGAACACTATGCTAAGTGAAATAAGCAAGTCCCAAAGACAAATAACATATGATTCCACTTATATAAGGGATTTAGAGTAGTAAGAATCAAAGAAACAGAAAGCAGAATGGTAGTTGCCAGGGGCTGAAGAGAAAGGGAAATGAAGAATTATTGTTCATTGGTTACAGAGTTTCACTTTGCAAAGTGAAAAGAGTTATAAAGATGGAGATGGTGATGGTTGCATAACAGTGTGAATGTATTTAATATCACTAACTGTAAACTTAAAAAATGGTTAAGATAATTTGTTGCCACCAAAAAAAGGCAGATTTTCTTCAGAACTAATTTTTTAAAATCCTCACCTGAGGATATTTTTCTATTTATCTTCAGAGAGAGAGAGAAAAATTGATGTGAGAGAGACACATCAACGGGCTGCCTCCCGCAAGTCCCTGATCAGAGCCGGGACGAACCATAACCAAGGCACGTGCCCTTGACTGGAATCGAACCTGTGACTCATTGGTCTGCAGGCAGTCATTCTAACTGGTCAGCCAAATCAGCCAGGGCCTAATTAAGTTTTTTAACAGTACCCACTCCATCTCTGGGTTTTCATCTTTTACCAAGAAAATGTTTTCCCCACACTGAGGACTTTTGGATTGCTTTGCAAGCACAGAAAATCTCAACCAGAAAAGATTTTTCGAAGGTCACAAGTCAATGTGGCCCAGAAATTGATCAGTTATAGATTTTTAGCATGCATGAAAATTATCTCTCATTCTGACTGGAGAAAATTCTACTTTCTGGAAATTCTAGAAATAATTACTGTCTTGCTCTTTAAAAACAAAGAGTAACCCATATAGTTGCAGAAAGTCAATTCTGTTCAAGACTTGTAACCTATTTCTGCCACCATTCCATAGAAATGAAAAATATTCCAGCAATTATTTTTTTATACATATCAGAAATAAATGAGGTCATAAAACTTTAAAAGTATCATTCTATTCCTCAGGGAATCTCTCAGTTATAAATATTCTGATCGTAACTATAAAAACAAAAGAACAGATCAGTACCATACCTGCACAAGGGGCCAACTTATTAACCACCTCTATTCGGTCAATATAGATCATGACTCCACCACTAAAAAAAAAAAAATGGAAAAAGTGTGAGCCAAACACAAATCTACTATAATCCCAGATCATCAAACATATCTCACACAACAGAAATTAAGAAGGAAAATCTAAAGACATATACTACTGACTCCACTAATCACTACTCAAATAACCCTAAACACACACTCACCTAGTTCCTCTCAGAACAAAAGTTCACCTCTGTAACGTTGTGATCAATTCAGCTCACATGAAGACTAACCCTATAACCGAAAGCTGCTTAACACTTTGCCCTTATTAACAGAAGCCAACAGATAAAGCAGTGCTTGTCTCCAAGTCTTCCATCAAGAAACCAAATACAATGGTTCCTCAGGAGATATGGAGGCCAGCCACAGTCTAAAATTCTACTGGTTTCCTGCCTTTTCTTAATAATTCATCATGAGTTTTTATCTACACTTTATCTGTATTCATTCTAGTATATAAAAAAAAAATTTCCCAAGTAAAACTGACACTCTAGAAAGACAGGTCTTGTTAATTAGTAGCTTCCTATACTTCCTGGCCTACCGTGAGGGGCATGTGAACTTTAACTTGAGACACATGAAGTTAGAAATGTTGAAACTAAACAACTAAGCCTTCCTACCAACTTACAATGACATTTTTTCCCCTTGATAAAAAAAGAGTAATACATGCTCACTAAAAATAAAAATTTGAAAAAAAATAGGAAAGCAAAAAGATGAACATGAAATTTACCCAAAATCTCACCAGCTGCCAATTTTGTGTCATCTCTAAAGGGAATCCATAAAAGAAAGTTACAGATAGACCTAAGGAGAACTTATCAAATATATTAACTTAAAACACAGGAAATTTGCTCCCTTTTAAAAAGCATTTCTGTCCTTCCATTAATGTCAAAGCCTCTTGTATATAAGCTTGCAATAGATATTTTAGTCACTTAAAATAGAGCATTTAAAAAATACCTTCTATTTTGATTTTTGCATTTAACTTCAGATAGAGCGGGAGGAAGAGAGAGAGACACATTGACTGATTGCTACCCACACGACCCCAATTGGGGCTGGGGACGAACTGCAACCAAGGTATGTGCCCTTAACGGGAACCGAACCAGGGTCTCTCTGGTCCGTGGGCCAGCGCTCTAACTGCTAAGCCAAACAGCCAGGGCAATACCTTCTATTTTACATTCTTCTTTGATACAATTCAATGTACTAATTATATTCTAGAAATTATCTGTGCCTTGCTTGCCTTTCTTTCCTTAAAACTCTTTATCACAGCTATGTTCAAAGTAAGGTCCTAAGACCAGCAGTAGCATTAGCATCACCTGGGAACTTCTGTTAGAAATGCAAATTCTTGGGCCTCATTCCAGACCTACTGAATTAGAAACTCTAAATTAGATGGCTTTTAATACTACAGATGACAAATGAGACAATTTCATTTTAAACTATCTGTTCCTGAGCACTGGATCAGGTGCTGGGTTAGGCACCTTATATATACTAATTCTATTCCTTAGTATAACTGCAAGATAGTTCTTATTACCTGATTTTTACAAATGAGAGAACTAAGGTTGGCAAAGTCAATAAAGGCATGTGTGGCAGCAAGGAGGGTATGAGAACTCTCTGTACTTTTTGCTCAATTTAGCTATGAACCTAAAAGTGCTCTACAAAGTAAAGTCTAGTTAAAAAAAATCTCAAAGCAGATGTGGCAGTGCTGATACATTAAGTTAGGTCTGCTGGTTCTTTTCAATAACACACTAATGGCTCTTAAGATGGAAAGCTCCTATTTGGAGATAGGGCTTTCCTCAAATAATACTCAGAAGAGAAATCTCCTGGAGTTACCTTCATGCCTTCTTGAAGATGTTTAAGTGATCACGGCTTATGAACAGAAACTCTATCTGATCTAAAGGGAGGTTGGTAAATGAGGGGAAAGCTTACCTTGTTCCACAAGGCACATTTTTAACTTCATCGGTTTGTAGTGTTGTCTGGGGAGGAAAATATATCTCAATATCAATACTCAGGATACATATCGTCAAAGAACTACTGGTCCCAGAGGAAAAACCTCTGGAGAACTACTGAGAGGTAAGCATAGCAGAGTTCCATTACAATTTTAGTCACCAAAGATTAGCTACCAAAATAATTTCTTTTTGTATCCTAGTAGACATGAAAGCTTTGAGACAAAATATCTTATAGCTAATGTTTGAATTAGGATGCACTAGGCAAGTTTCAATGTTCAACCTCTCAGAGCCCCCTTATTTGCCTAGAGCTGGCCTGGGATTACAAAGGATATAATTTACCCATTACTTAATATTACTACAAGGACTTGTGCTTTGAACTTTGATTCCACTGCTAATATTACTGTCTGTGATGATGGTACAAGATAACTATTATATATATACAAGTAGTCTACAACTCAAAGGTACCCTTGAACTGAACAGCAATCATTTTCTCTGAAGCTATAGTCAATATTTTAGTTTAGGCCCTAGTAATCTCTCAAATAGTCTGTTCAATTTCCCTTTTAACAGAATTGCCACCACCAGCACTGCTTCCTTCCAGTGAACCAACAACCTGGTACTTACTCTGCCCCTTTGGATCCAGAATGATTCTCTATTGCACTCTAAGGCCTCCAATATGTGAATACCTAATGAGTATATTCTAGACACACTGTACCTTACTAAGCACACAGCAACATTATTACTTTATGGAATACAAAGGAGAAAGGAAACATGGTCCCTGTTTCCAAAGAGCTCATTATCCAACACAGGAGATAAAAGCTGTACAAAGTAATCTTTAACAGGTATAAAATAACAGAATATAAACTGAATTGTTAGGTATTAACAATGGCAGAGAGTAAAATGATAGGTTGAAAAGCTCTCTGAAGTATTTATAAGCCAGATCTAAAGGGGGAGAAATAAGAACAGATGAAGCAGAGAAACATCTTAGGTTCAATAAATATCCTATTCAAATACACAAAATTGAGGACAAACCGTACATGAAAGTGACACGAAGCAGATTGGCTTGCCTGCAGCAGTAGGGGCAAAATAGATGAAAGTTGAAATTCTGAGAAGAGAACATGGTGACATTAGGTAGGGGGCCCTGCATGTTCGTAGGAGGGAGGGAGGGGCTTGGGAAATCCCTAGTCCGTCTTATATACAGCCACAAAATAAATATATCAAAAACGGACACTTCCGGTTAAGATGGCGGCATAGGTAAAGTGGTATCGCGTCCTCCCACAACGACATCAAAGTTACAACTAAACCACAGAACAACCATCATTCAAAACCACCGGAAATCAAGCTGAATGGAAGACCTACAACTACGGAATTAAAGCAGCAGCCACATCCAGACTGGTAGGAGGGGCGGAGGCAGACGGGCTGGTCCCACACCCACAAGTGGCGGATAAAAATCAGGAGGACACCTCAGCTAGGAAGGTCCTTCCTGAGGACTGAGAGATCCCTGTCCCACACCAGGTGCCCCGCTCAGGGTTCCAGTGCCAGGAAGAAAAGTCCCCATAACTTCTGGCTGGAAAAACCATTGGAAACTGAGGCTCAGGGAAGCTGAAGTAGCTGGAGCCCCAGGCAGCTCCTCTTAAAGGGCCCACGTACAGACTTATCGGACTCTCTCCCTCTAAGCTTGGAGGGGAGGCAGCTCGAGAGGCACCAGAGACATACAGGGAAGAACTGAGCTGTTTGGCACTGGAGCGAGGGCTGGAGAGGGGGCTTTCTCCGAGACAAACGTGCTGTCAGAGGCCTTTGTTCCTTTGGTGAGTTCCTGGGGCGGCAGACAGCTGCCATATCTGGGACTCCAGCAACCTGGCTCACACTGGTAGCCCCGCCCTGCTGACTCCCTGAGGCCCCGCCCCACCCAACTTTCAAGCCCACCCAAGCTGTTGCCAGTTGCTTAACCATAGGATTGGCCTGTCTTGGATCCTGCTTCAGGTTTTTCCTAAATTCTTTCAAACGAGCAGCATCTGGTCTCAGCGAGCCCCATACCTCTCGTTACTAAGTAATACACAGAAACAAACACAGGGAGGCAGCCAAAATGAGGAGACAAAGAAACAGGTCCCCAATGAAAGAACAGAACAAAAACCCAAGAAAAGAACTAAGCGAAATGGAGATAAGCAACCTAACAGATGCTGAGTTCAAAATACTGCTTATAAGGATGCTCAATGAACTTAGTGAGGGCCTCAAGAGCATAAAAAAGGACCAGTCAGAAATTATGGATGCAGAGTCAGAATTGAAGGAGGCATTAACTGAAATAAAGAATAATTTACACAGATTCAATAGTAGAGTACGTAAATCCAAGAAGCAAACTATCGATTTGGAATATAAGGAAGCAAAAAACGCCCAATCAGAACAGCAAAAAGAAAAAAGAATCCCAAAAAAATGAGGATAGTGTAAGGAGCCTCTGGGACAACTTCAAGCATGCCAACATTTGCATCTTGGGGGTGACAGAAGGAAAAGAGAGAGAAGAAATTGAAAACCCGTTTGAAACAATGGCAGAAAACTTTCCTAACTTGGTGAAGGAAACAGACATACAATTCCAGGAAGCACAGAGAGCCCCAAACAAGATGAACCCCAAGAGGCCCACACCAAGACACATCATCATCAAAATGCAAAAGGTTCAAGACAAAGAGAGAATCTTAAAAGCAGCAAGAGAAAAGAAGTTAGTTACCTACAAGGGAGTTCCCATAAGACTGTCAGCTGATTTCTCAAAAGAAACTTTGCAGGCCAGAAGGGAGTGGCAAGAAATATTCAGAGTGATGAAAACCAAGAACCTACAACCAAGATTACTCTATCCTGCAAAGCTGTCATTTAGAATCGATGGCTGTATAAAGAGGTTCCCAGACAAGAAAAAGTTAAAGGAGTTCATCACCACCAAACCGTTATTATATGAAATGATGAAGGGTCTTTTTGAAGAAAAAGATAAAATATATGAACAAACAAAATGGCAATGAATACATATCTATGAACAATGGAATCTACAAACAAAATGAACAGGTAGAACAGAAACATTCTCATAGATACAAAGAACATTTTGTTGGCTGCCAGATGGGAGGAGGGTTGGGGGAATGGGTGAAAAAGGTGAAGAGATTACGAAGTACAAATTCAATGCTAGACTGACAAACCTCAAAGGGAAAGGGGCTGGGGGGTGGGGGGTGGGAAGAAATAAACCAAAGAACTTATATGCATAACCAATGGACACAGACAATAGTATGGGAAAAGGCGGGAGGGGGGCGGGAGTGGGGAAGAGGGGGTCAATGAGAGAAAAATGTGGAACATCTGTAATACATTTTACATTCAACAATAAAGATTAAAAAAAAAAGTTTTTTCCTTGCCCTGGCCGGTTTGGCTCAGCGGTTAGAGCGTCGGCCTGTGGTCCAGAAAGACCCGGGTTCAGTTCCCACTAAGGGCACGTACCTCGGTTGCAGTTTGTCCCCGGTCCTGGTTGGGTCGTGCGGGTGGCAACCACTCAATGTGTCCCTTTCACATCGATGTTTCTCTCTCTCTCTCTCTCTTCCTCACTCTCCCTCCCACTCTATCTGAACAAAAAAATGGAAAAAATGTCCTTGCGTGAGGATAAAAAAAAAGTTTTTTCCTTCATTCCTTTGCTCATATGTGATGTGGTTCTTAGTATCCAGCATATTTAGAGGCAAGAAAATGAGCTGGGAAGCTGAAGTATTAATTTATTTAGATTGATTTAGTAAAGGGCATGGAAATTAAAAGCTGTCCATCCAGGACAATATATAGAAAAAAGATTTAATAACTGGTTGCACATAAAATTACAGAGGGAAAAGAAAAGAATGTAACTCTGGGGTTGAGAGATAGCGTGATGGTAAACATAGTGACAGGTTCTAGGTAGAATGAGAGAAGTTGACAAAGAGGTGAGTTCAATTTTCCGTATTTCCTTCAAAACATTAATCTAATTCAATTTCCATATCTATCAACATAGAAGGCTATGTCTTCTAATGTGTTCCAAAACTTCATAAAAACTTTTCGTGTCTCATTTGTATAAGACCAATTTCTTTTTTTTTTAAATCCTCACCCAAGGATATTTTTCCATTTATTTTCAGAAGGGGGTGGGGTGGGGGGGACGACTCACACACATCAATTGGTTGCCTCCTGCATGACCCCGACCAGGGCCAGGGACTCAAACACAACTGAGGTTATTTGACCTTGACCGGAATTGAACCCTCAATTTTGGCCTGATGCTCTAACTGCTGAGCCAAACTGGCCAGGGCTATAAGAACAATTTCTTATAAGGGTTTTATTAATATAATTCTTTCCTAAAATGTACTGTTAAAGGACATTCCTAGTTAGTCACACTGGTTCCACCACTTAATTTTTTTGTAAATGCAAAGTATATTTGTTGACACTGAAATCGCTTTACTAATTTCATTTCCATTTCTTGTATTATAAGAATATATGAGTAAATATATATGCACACTATATTGTACTTGTTGCATGTGCAATTAAACTCTAAAAACTTAGTGTTTAATATCTGTATCTCTCCTATATATCTCTGCATCGGTATGACTCAATATACTAAGCTCCAAGAAGGCTTAGTATATCCTAGAGATATAAAATAGATTTGTCTGGCTTTGAACAGGTCTACAAAATCTCCTAATCGCTAAGGGTCTGATGGTGCCATTGACAACATCATTATAAGCTGTTTTGGCTGTTGGTGAGGTCATGTAATTAAAACTCCTTCTTTCACAGAGAAATAATTGAAATCTACAGCAGTGAAGTGATTTTTGCAGTCATGTGCGTAATTAATTGATGTCAGAGCCAGAAACTAAGTCTCCAGGTTCCTGGCCCCACATTTTTTTTTTTAACAATAATGAGGTTTTATTATTATTAACTATTATTTTTTATTACAGATGTCCCTCCTTTGGTCCCACATTCACTAAACCATACTGCTCAATTTAACAACTTTCACAAGTAGAAAGGTCAACAATATAAATGGATTACAATCCCTGCCTTCAAGAAGCTTGGAGATTTTCTACAAAGGAAACACGGCCTGGCCGGTGTGGCTCACTGGTTGAGCATCAACCCATGCACCAAGAGGTCGCCGGTTCAATTCCTGGTCAGGGCACATGCCCAGGTTGTTGGCCAGATCCCCAGTGGATGGCAGGCAAGAGGCGGCCAGTCAATAAATAATTTTTTATTGATTTTTAGAGAGAGAGGAAGGGACAGGGAGAGAGCAATAGAAACATCAATGAGAGAGAATATCAACTGGCCACCTCTTGCAACCCCCCCACTGGGGATCTGGCCCACAACCTGAGCATGTGCCCTGACTGGCAATCAAACCAGCGCCCTCTTGGTGCATGGGTCGATGCTCAACCACTGAGCCACACCAGCTGCACAAGAAAAAAAAATATATATATATAAAAAAGTATGAAGTATTGAAAAAAAGAAAATACACACAAAAACTTATAGAATACAACATTATTAAGCCCCGGCCTGTATGACGCAGCAGTTAGAGCATCGGCCAGCAGACCAAAGCTATGTGGGTTCGATTCCAGTCAAGGGCATGTACCTGGGTTGCAGGTTTGATCCCTGGCTCCAGTTGAGTTGTTCGGGAGGCAACCAATAGATGGTTTTCTCATATTGATGTCTGTCTGTCTATCTGTCTCTCTTCTCCTTCCCTTCCATTCTGTCTAAAAATCAATGGAAAAATATCCTCGAGTGAGGATTAACAAAACAAAATAAGAAACAAGACCAAGGGCAAAAATTTATAGTAGAGACTTTCAGAGCTATAGATTAGAACAGGGATTTGCAATGAGCCTTATGAAGGATGGCAAGATTTAGACAGGAGAGAAGAAATGAAGAGAAAGATGGGGAGAGAAGAGGTGACGGCATGAACCAAGGCAAGAGTGAATAAGATAGAGAAAAGAATATGGAAATCAGCCCTGGCTGGTTTGACCCAGCAGTTAAGAGCATCGGCCTGTGGTCCAGAGAGACCCGGGTTCGGTTCCTGCTAAGGGCACGTACGTCGGTTGCAGTTTGTCCCCGGCTCTAGTTGGGGTCATGTGGGTGGCAACCACTCGATGTGTCTCT